CCTTCCATGTCCCAATCACCAGTGTCTGCTTACAACTCTTCTTCCACTTGAAAACTCAACCTCCTTTGCCGTTTCTGTTATCTAAATGTGTTCTGTTGTACATAGGGTTTTCAGAGGGCTGCTATTTCAGAAGTGGATGGCCAATCTTTCTTCCTAGTCTGTCTTAATGTGAATGTTCAGATTTAGAGAAGTATTAGACAGACCAGCATGTTAAAGGTATATCCCTTATTGCAGCGTTAACTTTAGTGTCAGTGTTGTCCCTGCCTTTCTCACACGCGTCTTTACCCACTTATTTCCCTGCTCCACCATCCACCAGGTTATCCATCCACTTCTACCCCCTCCCTTCACATCTATCTCCCTTTGACCAGCCCTCCATCTAATAACATATATGAGGCTTCCATGGCTTCTGTGATTCCAACCACATCAGCTGATGGTAGTTCCTTATGTCTCTGATCAATGTCTCTGAAGTTTAGTCGTAATGTTTCCCGAGTAAAGGTGATGCATCCTGTAGAACTGGTGTGTAGATAGGCTTTTCTTGGCCCTCGGGCCCGAACAAATGTCGTGCGGTTTTTTGCATCTTCGATTATCTGGGGAGATGGGAGGTATCTGAGGCTTTCCTCTAAGCTGTCCCGCCTAACCCCTCCTCTGAGCGGCCTGCCGGAACGAATGTCACGCTGTTTTTTGCGCCTTTGTAGCTTGGTTGAATCCTCTCCAAGATGAATCTGTTTGTTTTCCTGGAAGTCCATGGTACTTTCAGTACTCTTCTCCAGCACCACAGCTCAAAGGCATTAACTCTTCTTCTGTCCTCTCTAGTCATTGTTCAAAATGCACCGTTGGTAAGATTGTAAAATGGTACAACCACTCTGGAAGTTAATTTGACATTTCTTCAGAAAGCTGAACATACAAATTCCACATGACCCAGCTATTCCACTGTTTGGAATACACTCTGAGAAAATAACTAAGACACCAACGAAGAATTGTACACCAATGTTAATAGCAGCATTATTTATCATTGCAAGACCATGGAAACAGCCCAATTGTCCAACCACAAGTAAATGGATTGAGAAATTATGATACATTCACATGAAGGAATATTACACAGCCTGCAGGAACAATGATTTTATAGATCACTACCTAACTTTGGAAGGACTGGAAAGCATTATACTAAGTGAATTAACTCAGTCCCATAAAGACAAATATTGTATAGTACCATTATTGTAGAATGTGTACAAGGATCCAAGTAAGAGATGGTGGGAGTAGAGGGGTGAGGACGGAAGGAGGGGGTAATCATAAGTTGCACAATTTGATGGATGCAGCGATGGCCGGTAAAGGAAATAGGAAAATTTGGTGTGAAAAACAATTTATAAGAATTTTGTTAGTAAACAGTCTAAAATGTTTTGTTTTTTTAAATCAATCTAAAAAATGTCGATTCACCTTCTTTTCAAGTGTACATGGTACATTCTTCAGCAATGATCACAAAGCAAGTCTCAACAAACTTAAAACACTGAAGTAATACAAAATTTCTTCTCCTACCACAATACTGTAAAATTAGCAATTAACGACAAGAGCATACAACTTATAAAACCACCCATGCGAAGGCTAAATAACATCCTGCTAGAACACAAGTGGATTACAGAAGAAATAAAGAATGAATTAAAAAAGTACCTCTAATCAAATGATGATGAAAATACAACATACCAAACCCTCTGGGATGCAGCTAAGGCAGTCCTCATGGGGAAGTTCATAGCAATAGACAATCACATAAAAAACAAAGAAGCAGAATTAATGACCCAAGTAAATACCTTTATCAAATAGAAAAAGAACAACAATCTAACCCTACAGCCCCTAGAAGAAAGATAATCATAAGAACTAGACTTGAAATAAATGAGCTAGAAAACAGAAAAATAATTTAAAACATCAATAACCAGGATGCGGTTTTCAAGATTATATTGGAAGTACTTTCTAGGGCAATATGACAAGAGAAGGAAATAAAAGATATCCAGATCTGCAGAAAGAATAAACTGTCACTATATGCAGATAATATAGAAAACTGCAAGGACTCAGTAAAAAATCTGTTAGAGCTAGCTAGTGGACCAATTTAGTAGGATGACAGGATATAAGATATATGAAAGGTGAAGAATTAGGTAAATTCAATGGGGGCCTGAAAATGCAGGGTAAAGGTGAGCATAGTCCAAGGTGATTAATGTTATAAAATACCATGTATGAGAATGATTGTATGAGACATAACATCAGTGGAAGAAAGTGTAGGTCAGGGAAGAATTACCAAAATAGAAAAAAAAAGGTGTATGGTGGCAGCTATCTAAAAACACACCATAATGTATGGGAATGATTGTATGAAAATATATTGCAAAATACAATATATACGAATTTTTATTTTTTTTTAATTTCAAAAAGCACTTCAGTTTTCATTTTCTTGGGGTATATTCCAAGCAATGGAATAGCTGGGTCATACGGAATTTCTATGTTCAGCTTTTTGAGGAAGCCCCAAACTGTTTTTCAGAATGGTTATATCATTGTACAATCCCACCAACGATATAAAAAAGTTCCTATCTCACCGCCACTTCTCCAACATTACTTCTTGTCCTGTTAAACTTGTACACCAGTGTTCATAGCAACATTATTCACCATTACAAGAACATGGAAACAGCCCAGATGTTCAACCACAAAAGAATGGATTGAGAAGTTGTGGTACATTCATACAATGAATACGCAGCACTTAGGACCAATGATTTTGTAAATTACTATCTAATTTGAGAGGGACTGGGGAACATTATTCTGTGTGAACTAACCCAGTCTCACAAGGACAAATACCGTACAAAACCATTATTGTAGAATGAGTATGAGGATCCAAGGTGGGGGGTGGAGGGTGGAAATAGAAGAATGTGGAGGGGGGTTAGGGTGTTAATTATAGTATTACACAATTTTATGAGTGGGTAGGGTGAAGGAAATGGGAAGGATCTTTTGAGAAAAACAATGTATTCAAACTTTGTAAATAAATAAAAATAAAATTTAAAAAAATTCAAAAAGCAACCAAAAAAAAGGAAGACTTAGATGAAGTCAGATTTTATGACAGACTTCTGGTCAAACTCTTCTCTACCTTACCTGTTTTTACCTGTCTATCTATCTATCTATCTATCTATCTATCTATCTATCTATCTATCTAATTTCTTTATTTTCCGTAGTCTGCAGGATGTATATGAGCAAGAAAGTAAAGATACTCAAATAAATATAGGGAGAGGAAAAACAACTTTTTTGCAGTCATTCCACAATGATTCTTTGGAAGAATTTCTAAAAGGTGGTGCAAGAAGTTAATATCCTTTTTAGACCTTACCTTATGCTATATGAATTCACTAAAAAAAATCCTTGCTAACAGGTCTTTTACAAAAGAAAATGTTAGTAGATGATCAGGATAAGGAATATGATATTGTTCATCTTTATTCTTCTAGCAGGAAGTAATGAAATTAATCTGGGTAGAATTTAGAAAAGTAGATGCCTGCATCTCAATGTGGTTTCTAGACTTTCCAATTGGGTCTATCAAATTAGTGAGCTTTAATTTTAAAATGAAAGTTATTATTTATTAAGAGGAAAACATTATGAATGCCTATAGTCTATTAAATATATGTAAAGAATGCATAATGCCACAAGATAGAACTGGTCCTAGTGACTGGAACTTACATGCAAACAAATTTCAGACTACTAAAAACAATAAAAAATGGGAAAAAAACCCACCAACCCCAAACCTAATTCAATCATTAAAACTACTCAACAGTAGAATAAATTGTCTCCTCTGAGAATGAACTTTCTTTTCTTTCCAAGTTTCAAACAGAAGCTGCATGTCATTTGTTAGGGGTGTTTCTACAGGAAATATTTACCTTGGATAGCTCTGAGGTCCTTCCCAACTATGATGATAACTTGATAGAACCGAGGTTAAGACGTTAGTACATTTAATGACAAACAAAGTCATGTGACATTCACCTTTATGTTCTAGTGGATCAGATAAGTTCTTCCAGAAGAGCTCCAGTCGAATTGGAGGCACCTACTGGAAAGTCCGATATGAAGCCTTCCAAGATGAAACATTCCAGGAGAAGGTGAAGCTGGAAGATGAAAAGCATTTGGGAATCATGGGTAAAGGATCTTATAAAATTTAACAACCAAACTAAGTAAGCTAGAGAAACTTCTAAACTTTTTCAGAGACACACTATGCCATTACTTTCCAAAGTGAGAAGCCAGAGATGAATATTATGTGCAAAAGAGTTTGGGTGCTGAGCAAGTTTGCAAATACTAGGTTATGCATAGTTAGATAGATGTCTTTGCTACAAAACTTTTCAGAGCTTTTAATTAATTATTGCTCATCATGCATTTTCAAATTAAGAATAGAATTTGTAACATTTTTTCACACTTAATTTACAAATGAATATTTTTTTTTCATTGAACATATTCCAGTACCACTACTACAAATGTAGCACTTTCTCCTTCTGATATTTCTATTGGTCTGCATACAATAATTCCTATACGTTGTGTTTCATTCATGAACATTGCGTTTTATACAATATTTCATTTATAGTATGGTTAATACACTCAGTATATACTATATAGTAGTTTCAAAACCCCTTTTCCAAGAGTATTCCTAAAGGTATTGACTTAGATAAGTCAATAAGACTGTCCAACTCTTTAGCAATATGAAGCCAAGAACAAATAAAAATTATAGTCTGATCCTAGAGAAGGCATTTAGTAGGTCTGATTCAGTCCATGATCTTTTCAATCACTTACTATGCTGCTGAGAGCTGGACAGTGAAAAAAAGATGACAAAAGAAGAATTAATGTCTTTGAACTATAATGCTGGAGATGAGTACTGAATAGCTCATAGACTGCCAAAAGGGAGGGGGAAAAAGATAGAAAAACAGTTATGTATTGGAGAAAGGGCAGCCAGAATGTTCCTTGGAGACAAGAATGATGAAGCTTCATCTGACATATTTTGGATGTGTTGCTGGTGATTGTTGTTATATGCCATCAAGTCACCTGCAACACATAGTCTCACTGTCTCTGACACATCTGCCTTCATTACCCCAGTTATTGTGTTAATTAATCTCATTCATCAAGTCCAGCCCCCAGAATGATCTGTTCCACATGCAGATTGAAAAGGTATGGAGAGAGGATGGATCCCTGACACACTCCTTTCCAGATTTTGAACCATGAGCTGTTTCCTTGCTCTGTTCTGATGACTACTTCCTGGTGCAAGTATAGGTTTCACATGAACACAACTAAGTGTTCTGAAATTTCCACTCTCCTTAAGGTTAGCTACAATTTGTTGTTATCCACACAGTCAAATTCCTTTACAGTTTTTTTTAAAAAATAATCTTCAGCAAGATTTTTTTGCATGTAATATCAAACGATATTTTTTCAATATTTTCCATACTCCGTCAGGTTACCTTTTTTTAGAATGGGAACAAATATGGATCTCTTCCAGTCAATTGGCAGAGTACTTGTTGTCCACATTTCTTGACACTATCTGCTATCTGGTGAGCATGTCCAGGGAAGTATCTGTTTGATGTAATTTGTCAATTGTTATTCCATCAATTCCTGATGCCTTGTGTTTTGCCAATTCCTTCAGAGCAGCTTGAACTTTCTCCTTCATCACCATTTCCTCTTAATCATAAAATTTCATTAAATTTATTAATTTCTTGAAAATCCATTAAATTCTTCTGTCAACCAAATATTTTTATATAATGTCTTCATGTGCTCCTCTTAATTTGTTTTGTAAATGCTTCCTGAAACATTAAATATTCTGACCATAGTATCTTTAAGTATTGCAATTCAAGGCTTGAATTTGTTCTTTAGTTCCTTCCGTTTAAGAAATGCCAAGTGAGTTCAACCTTATGATTTTCTTATTCCAGCATTTTGCACATTTTACTATAATACTTCGCTTTGTCTTTCCACATTGCACTTTGAAATCTTCTGTTCAGCTCCTAAACTTCTTTAATTCTTCCCTGTGCTTTGACTTCTCTGCACTCTAGTGCAATATCCAGAGTCTCTTCTGACATCCTTGTTCTTTCCTTCCTCTCCTATCTTTGTAGTTATCTTTTACATTCTTCATGGATATTATTGATATCCTCCCACAGCTCATGTAGGTTTTGCTCATTAGTGCCCAAGGCCTCAAGCCTGCTTCTTAAATAATTTTTAAATTCAAGTTGGATAGATTCAAGGTAAAATTTTATTTCCTGTGAACTTTATTTAACTTTCCTTAGCATCAGTTATGAAATCAAGTTTGCAGAGAAAAGTCTTTTCTTAGTTCTCTGTGAGACAGAAGGTTGACTGGAGATCCTCCTGCACACAAACTGCTAGAGCTGGCAGCCCTGATCTCTGATCTTGTGCTACTCCAGAGAAAAGGAAGACATTATGCTTCAGGAGAAAATGTACATGAGAAATTGATCAAGTAGAAAATCTGGCCCCAAACCACTCAGTCACTTCATACATGAAGAAAGATAGTAGAGTTGGTGACAGGGGACTACATTAAGGTGAGATTCCTACAGGGCTGCATGTAAAGAGCATAATGTAAAGAACTTTGTTGTTGTTGTTGTTGATTGCCTTCGAGTTGAGCATGACACATAGCGAATCTATAAACAAAGGGCCTGAAGCCCCTCTACAACTATTGACATTTAGGAAAGGTGAATTTTCCAAGAAATGATTTACAGTACAGTATGTGGCTCACCAGATAGATTAAGCATTTTAACCGGCCAACTAATCAGTAACATCATAAAGAAAATCAACCACAACTTACACAGATACTTAAGAAATGGTCTAACATTATGAAGAAAAACTTGACATAATACTGAGAAAGAAGCACACAGTTTCAAACACTGTGATAATACAAATTATGCCTTCTCAAAAAAAAAAACCAAACAAACAACCCCAAACCAACATATAGTATTTCAGGTCTCATGAATACCCCAGAGTCAAGAAGGCAGACGATATATCTATGTTGATATAGCGACATTAAAACAGTGACAAATGACAGTACAAATGGTAGAAGAAACAATAGAAGCCACAAATAAAGGGATTAACCTAGAGGTAGAGAACCAGAAAAAAATATACTGATAAAGAGTAATTTGAACAGATATGGAAGAAAGTGCAAAAGATGGAAAAAAGAATGAAAGTCACTAAAAAAGCAAATTCTTCAGAGAGATGAAGCCAGAAGAAATATATTGACGAGGAGGAACTTGCACAACTATGGAAGAAAATGGGGGAAAAATAGAAGAAAGAATTGCAACTATCAATAAAAAGGTACAAGAACTTTAAAAAATCATCACAAAACAGAGAAGGCACAGCCAATAAAGTACTAGACATAACTGTATGAAAATGCAATCCAGAATATTAAGACCAAAATGGAAGAAGTGTCCAACATGCTTGAAGGACAAAAAAGCAGAACAGAAGAGATGGAGCAGAGAGTCAGTGAGCTGGAAGACAAGAACCACAATGGAAACATACTAGAAGAAAAATTAGAGATGAAACATGAAGAAAATGTTAGAATTACGTGAGATGACATAAAAGAGAATTATAAATATATTATTTGAATTCACTGAGAATATTGTGAGAAAGGTATGAGAAGAAAATTTTCCAGTTATTATGAAGAAAAAGGAAATTCACACTCTGGAAGCTCAATGGCGATCAAATTGGCTAGACCCCAAAAGGAAAACATCGAGACATATCATAGTCAAATTCTCCAAAATAAAAGATAAGGATAGAATACTAAAAGCAGCATGAGAAAAACAGAGCCATCTACAAAAAAAAAGCAATTAGATTCAGTTCTGAGTTTTCCAGCAGAAACCATGTGAGCAAGAAGACAATGGGATGACATATACAAAACACTGAAAGACAACAACTGCCAACCAAGATTTCTGTACCCAGCAAAGCTCTCCATCAAATATGAAGGACAAATCACATCCTTTGCATAAAAGAAGTAACTTAAGGAACTTGTGAAAACAAGACCAAATCTACAAGAACTTTTAAGAGAAATCCTTTACAGAGAGATACCAAAGGAGTGGTTGGACCATAGTAACAAGACACAAAATGAAGAAAGAACAAAAGGAAGGGAGGAATAGAGGGAAGGAGGGAGGAAAGGAGGGAGGGAGGGAGGAAAGAAGGAAGGAAGGAGGGAAGGAAGGAAGGAAAACGGCAATGATAAAACCTGGCCTGTCAAAAATCACACTTAGTGTGAGTGAACTAAGTACACCAATTAAGGGGAGAAGAGTAGCAGAGTGTATAAAAACCAAAATCCATCAATATGTCATCTATGAGAGACACATCTAATTAATGAAGAGAAAGATAGAATCAAAATCAAAGGATGGGAAAAAAATACATCAAGCAAATGTCACGCCCTCAAAAAAGCAGATGTGGAAATAATAATCTCTGACAAAATAAACTTCAGAATGTAAACAACCATAAAAGATAAGGAAGGGCACAATATAATGATCAAAGGCACATTAGATCAAGGAGACGTAACCTTGGTGAACATCTATGCACCAAATGATAGACCTGCTAAATATATAAATCAACTGTTAAGAGAATTAATGAAAGAAATAGACAGCACCACAATAAGGGTGGAAGGCTTTAACACACCACTTTCACCAAAGGATAGGTCAACTCAAAAGAAACTTAACAAAAATTCAAAAGATATCAATTATAGATTGAGCCAACTCAAACTTGTGGATGTATTCTGAATACTACACCCAACTAAAACTCAATACACTTTCTCCTCAAGTGCACATGCCACATTTTCCAGAATTGATTGCATATTAAGGAACAAAGAAAGCCTCGACAATTAAAAAAAAAGAAAGTATACAAAGTATCTTCTCAGATCACAATGCCATAAACTAGAAACTAAACACAAGAAGATAAAGTTTATAAAACCACCAGTATGAAAGTTAAATAACACTCCGCTAGAGCATGACTGGGTTATAGAATAAGTAAAGAATAGAATAAAACATGTTTCCTCAAAAAAATGATATTTAAAATACAACATACCAAAACCTCTGGGATGCAGCTAAGGCAATACTCAGGGTACAATGCATAGCAATAGGTAAACACACAAAAAATGAAGAAAGAAGCAAAGATAATGATCTAATTTA